GGTATAGTCATTGCGCTGGGTATGCAGTTACAGTTGCATGGCTATACTCAATCCCGACTCTTGCGTCCTCGTTCGCGCACTCTGGGCAACGTGAACAACCCATGTGCGAGATGCGGTAACCAATCCGAGTGGAGCCTTGGGTCACGGCAGAAAGAGAGGGAGCTTCGGTGGGGCCACTCTGACTTATTCGGTTTAAGGGCTCACTGAAGTCTGCAGCGTCTGTTCACCAGTAGGTGCGGCTGCAAGCGGGTGTCTGCTTGGAGCAAGCGGCTCGCTATATAAACGTGTATTTGGTTGTGAAACCACCCCCGTCCCAGCAATGGGTTGTGCGCTGGGCTTGGGACCCGCCACGTAAAAACCACTTCCAGTGAAGAAGCGAGGCAAAGCCTCGGATGAGACCCCCCTTATGATGACGACCACGGCAAATGTTTAAAGGACTACGATTTGAGGGCATGCTCCTGGAATGTCCGGACCCTTAATGGGGAAGGTGCCTCTGCCCGGCTGGTTGATGTCCTCGTAAGGACAAAAGCTGACATCACCGCCATCCAAGAAATGCGTTGGACGGGGCAAGGCAAACAATGTCTGGGGCCTTGCGACGTCTACTACAGCTGCCATGTAAAGGAGCGCAAATTCGGAGTTGGATTTGTGGTGGGAGAGAGACTCCGTCGCCGAGTACTGTCGTTCACCCCGGTGGACGAGCGTCTAGCCACAATTCGCATCAAAGCGAGATTCTTCTGCACCCATGCCCCGACGGAAGAGAAGGATGAGGCATCCAAGGATCTCTTCTATGAGCGCTTGGAGCGCACGTACGAGCGCTGCCCCCGTCATGATATCAAAATCGTGCTTGGCGACTTCAATGCCAGGGTGGGCAAAGAAGGGATCTTTGGAACCACCGTCGGAAAATTCAGCCTCCACGACGAAACGTCCGACAACGGATTGAGGCTGATCGACTTCGCCGGGGCCCGAAACATGGTAGTATGCAGTACTAGGTTCAAGCATAAAAAGATCCATCAAGCTACCTGGCTGTCTCCGGATCGAAAAACGAGAAACCAAATCGATCATGTTGTGATAGACGGAAGGCACGCTTCCAGTGTTTTAGACGTACGCACACTCCGAGGCCCAAACATCGACTCGGACCACTATCTTGTTGCAGCCAAGATACGCACCCGCCTCTGTGCAGCAAAAAATTTGCGCCCAAATATGCAAGGAAAGCTTAACGTCGAAAAGCTGCAATCACAACAGACAGCCAGCGCTTTCGCTACTCGACTCCCACACCTGCTCTCAGAGAGCACTCCTCAACAAACCGACATATGCGAGCAGTGGAACCACATTTCCCGCTCATTAAGTACCGCCGCCGAAGAAGTAGTCGGATTTCAGCGAGCCCGAAAGAACAACTGGTACGATGAGGAGTGTCAGGAAGCTGCAGACAAAAAAGATGCCGCCTACAGGGCCACGCTGCGATCGGCGCAACGCGCGCTTTGTGGGACCGCTATAGGGATCTGAAGAGGGAAACGAGACGTATTTGCCGCAACAAAAAGAGAGAGGCAGAAATACGTGAGTGCGAAGAGCTTGAAATGCTGGCCGACAGGAGGAATGCCCGAAAATTTTACCAGAGAGTTAGGCGACTTACTAGGTGACCTAGTAACTGATGTCCACAGCGTACTTAAATTATGGAGGGAACACTTTTCCGCCCTACTAAATGGTAGCAGCACAGAAAGTTGTGGAGAAGAAAAACCCGAGCCCGCAGTCAATGATGACGGAGTCGACGTTCCACCGCCTGACTATGACGAGGTACGTATAGCAATAACGCGGCTGAAAAACAACAAAGCCGCTGGAGCTGACAGCCTGCCAGCTGAGCTATTCAAGTACGGCGGCGAGGAGTTGATAAGGTGCATGCATCAACTCTTGTGCAGAATATGGTCAGATGAACGCATGCCCGACGACTGGAATTTAAGTGTGCTCTGCCCAATCCACAAGAAAGGTGACCCCGCCATTCGCGCCAACTACCGCGGGATCAGCCTTCTAAGCATAGGTTACAAGGTCTTATCGACCACCAGCTCCGTCAGAATTGGAAAAGACCTCTCCGAGCCGTTCGCCACAAAACGGGGTTTCAGACAGGGCGACTCCCTTTCATGTGACTTCTTTAATCTGATGTTGGAGAAGATAATAAGAGCTGCAGAACTGAACCGCTCAGGAACAATTTACTACAAGAGCGTGCAATTGCTGGCTTATGCCGATGACATCGACATCATCGATAACAAAAACCGCGAAGTCTGTTCTGCCTTTTCCAAGTTGGATAGGGAAGCAAAGCGCATGGGTCTGGTGGTAAACGAGGACAAGACGAAGTATCTCCTGTCATCAAACAAACAGTCAGCACATTCGCGCCTTGGCACCCACGTCACTGTTGACAGTTACAATTTCGAGAAAGTAGAGAATTTCGTTTACTTGGGAACCAGCATTAACACCGATAATAATGTCAGCATTGAAATCCAACGTAGAATCACTCTTGCCAACAAGTGCTACTTTGGACTGAGTAGGCAATTCAGGAGTAAAGTCCTCTCTCGACGTACGAAAACCACGCTCTATAAGTCACTCATCATGCCCGTGCTGGTATATGGCGCAGAAGCATGGACAATGACAACATCCGATGAGGCGGCTCTTGGGGTGTTTGAGAGAAAGATTTTGCGGAAGATTTAAGGTCCTTTACGCGTTGGCGACGGCGAGTACCGCAGACGATGGAACGATGAGCTGTATGAGCTTTACAACGATATGGACATAGTGCAGCGAATTAAAATACAGCGGCTCCGCTGGCTTGGTCATGTCGTTCGAATGGACACCGACGCTCCAGCTCTGAAAGTATTCAACTCGGAACCCGCTGGTGGTAGCAGAGGAAGAGGGAGGCCCCCACTGCGATGGAAAGATCAGGTGGAGAAGGACTTGGCTTCACTTGGCGTTTCCAATTGGCGTCAGTTGGCACAGAGGAGAAACGACTGGCGTGCTTTGCTGAACTCGGCCAAAATCGCTTAGGCGGTTACAGCGCCAAAAAAGAAGAAGAATTAGTGACTATTTTTGTGACTTGAGATTATTTGGCTATTCAGTAGGAGTCACAAAAAGTTCACCCAAAATGTGTGGTGAAAACAAACACGGACAGTCAACTGATAGCGTTTACGTATGCCTTTTGCCGCGCTGCCCGAAGAGTCGCAATAGCCGAATGGTCAAAGCATTAGGCTGCCAGTCGAGAGAGTCCGGGTTCGAGTACTCCTCGTGCTGAGGATTTTTTTATTTTTTTTATTTAGTATTTTTTTCTTTTTTTTATTAGTTTTTTTTTTAATAATCTTTAGACTTTAATGTTAAAAAAAAAAATTTTTTCAATGGATTTGTATATTAAAGCATTTTGGTTTATTTCTTAACGAAATTCTTATTGGACAAATTTCTCCGCTTCATATTCGCGTTTTTTTTTTAAATAAAATGGAAAAAAATAAACTTTTTCGCCATATTTTTATTTTTGAGACCTGCTCTTAGCCAGCTGACAAATTAGTGACTTTTTTTGAGACCAGAGACGTGAGACAGCGTACTGAATACCAAATAGTCGCAAAATCCAAGTTCACCACCAAGTCACTATTAGTGACTAGAGACCGCGTACTGAATGCCAGGGTTAGGGCCGGTTACTCAGCGTCTGGTTAACACTAATCTCCGGTTAAATATAGTTATCGACGTTACTGACTCTCTGTTGTATGAATTGAGTCGTAGACGTCGATAACGATGTTTAACCGTAAATTAGTGTTAACCAGACGTCGATAATGATGTTTAAACGGAGATTAGTGTTAACCAGACATTGAGTAAACGGCCCTAAGGGCAAATTAGCTTATGGTTACAGAAGATATGTAATAAAATAACCGATGAAGACTTGCGTGCAGCTTGCGCTTTTCTCTCAAAGTGTTTACCTCTGACCCAAATGAAGGTTAAAATTCAAAAACAATTTGATAACAATAAAATATTTTCGCAAAATCTATAAAGGTCCCTTTTATTAAAAAAAAAACTATGTAACAGTTATTATTTTACACCCTGTATACGATAAAATATGAATAGCCTAAGAAAGGAGTACATCACCAGATTTTTTTTTTGGGGGAACAAGGGAGTACATTGCAATAAAAAGGAGTACGTTTACTCCCAAATGCAGTACGTCTGGCAACCCTATAAAAGCTTGCGCACCTCTTCGATTTTTCGCAGAAGGAAGTGCCACAGCAATGACTTTAATTTGGAAAACTTGGTGTGTCGGCAGTTTTGAAAGAGGTGCTTTAGTTGATAAAATTTGCAATCAGTGTTCGCTTTTGTTTTGCCAAAAGGGCGTACTCCACGGGAACTAAAATTTCAAGTTAAATAGATAATCCCTTCTAGAAGGCATGCAAGGAAGCACGTTTTTCAGCCCTTCTTGGGTAGACCTCTTAGAATGGCTTTACTTAAAAAGGCCTACCTAAATTATCTTCTGGGTATATCCTGACAAATATAACGCGTTATCTTTATCCGGGTACCCGGATATACATACATATATTACCCTTTACCGGGGTAACTCATTACCTCTAGTATATGGACAATGTCCAAAATTACATGATGAACCAGACAGAATAACTGACCAATTTGTCGCCATTTACAACAAAATTGAAAAATACAAATAAATTTACTTTTTGTGACTTTGATATAATCTGCCTTATCCTGAGTTTCGCCTGAAAAAAATTCACCCGAAAATTTGTAATGCGCCCATAGAAAAACCATGGAAACCAAGAGTGAAAAGTGAACCGGTTCGGCGAAAAAGAAACATATGACAAAGCTGAATGTATTAGATTAACTTTTCTACTTAAATTTTCTTCAGTGTTGTCAATAATAAAATTAAACGTATTTTTAAAATAGCAATTGGCAGTTCCATATATATGCGGCCAATATTATTTCCTTGACTTAGTAGTCGAACACAAGCATCCATTACAAATAATCTCCTAGGTAAATCTCAGTGAAGGACATTTATTTCTTGAAATTAAAAAATAATCTCAATGAAGGACATTTATTTCTTGAACTAGATATAAATCTCAGTGGGCAACCAAAATAATGCTCACATTTATATATCTTTCCGAGAGAAACCTTTGTGACTACGCAGTAAGATAAATATCCCAGAAAAACCAATATATATATAGTTTTTCGGTTAAGAGTTATTTTCGGGCCCTGCCTAAAATACAAAAAATGTGACAATTTAATTTGTTGTTCACTTTAATACAATATACTATAAATATTATTCGCTATGTGACTTCAATGTTTTATGGTTTTTCTTTACAGGTTCAGTCGATTTTTTGAGAGAAGAAATCGCTTTTTCTTCTTCATTTAATTTTTTTAGAAGGAAATACATTTCTGCGACACCAATTACAAGAGCACAAAATATTCCCATAACTAGACGTAATCCGAATTCCAAACCACCGAAAATTAGTTCCAGTCCTAAAAATCCAAATACAAAACCTGCAGCCACGGAAAATATAAACTGCAAAACTGCTATCATTTGACTATTGATGGCTTTCACTGTAAAAATATAGATATAATTAGAAGAAAATGCAATGCATATATTATATTTTAACTTACCTTGATACGCTATAGTATCTTCGGGTACATACTTAAGGCTTGAGTCTACATTTTTTGTCATGTTTAAGTATTCTTGATTTTGTTGTTGTTCGCGTAATCGCTGACAACGTGCCTCAAGCTGCGGGTTCCGTTCATTGATCGCATTCTTTGGCAACTCCAGAGCGCAATCTTCTAATATATTGTGTAGAAAAACGTTTAAACCTTTATCTTTACGTAGTTTTGCTAACCATAAAGCGAGCCATTGTAGATCAAATAAATATAAATATTCTGACGAGTTTACAAGTTCAATGTCATTATCTTTGGAGTAATTTACCCATTTAGGTTTTGTTTTAGATATGTCAAATTTTGCGTCATCTTTGATGTTTCGCAGGAGTTTTAAATCGATTTTTTGTAGTTTCATTGTTTCATCTGATTTAAGTTCAATTTTATTGTTTATGTCATAACCTTTCGCTTTTAAAATATTTGAAATGTTTTCAGGAATCTCTGTAATACTCTCTTTATTTTGATCGATAAGCTCCAACAATTGCAGAGAGGGTCGCACTCGTACTCGGGTATCAGCGATACTAGCTTTCGACATCCTTGAGCCGAATACTGCAATTTTTATTTAGAAATGTTCAATTTAATTTGTAAATCGGAGTAAAGTTCATCAATCTCTTCCTCTTTTTCCTCAAAAGAGTTCTTAATGCGTTCGTATTTGTGTTCCAAGTCGTCTTCGAAATTCTTTCTCTTTTCTTCACGTTCCTTACGAGCCTGAATAAAGAAATCGCTTGGCTTAAAGAATATTAAAGTTAATACTTATTCACAATTCTTTAAAATTTATATACATATATTAAATTGCAGTATTACATTATTGCGTGAATATACAGTACATTTCGCTTAGCGCTATTCAAGTTCGATGCGCATTGTGTACTTATGTACTTAAGTAAGGAAAAGGTAATTGTAGGTAGATAATTTCAGGAGTTAAAAGCCCTTCCGAACGGCCTTCCTGAGAGTCAACAGGGTTTTCCACTCTACATTCCATTCTCCATTCTTTTTTGTATGGAGTGGCACAAATTGAAGGGCTTCTTCTTTCGCTACCCATGGAAGGCCTTCCAAAAGGGCTTTTATAGGACGTACTTTAGAAGGCCTTTTAGAGGGGGCACCGAAATTGCGCATATGGAAACTGTGTCTAACATTATTTCGGTTTTCAACCGAAACTGCATGTATGCATTATTTCGGGTTTTTTCATAGGCATTATTTCGCTTTTAAAATGAAAGTACGCATATGCATAATTTCAGTTTTCAACCGAAACTGGGCATGTATGCATTACTTCGGGTTTTTTCATATGCATTATTTCGCTTTTAAATGCATGTATGCATTACTTCGGGTTTTTCATATACATGAATTCTGTTTTCAACCGGAACTGTGCATGTATGCACAACTTCGTTCTTCACATATGCATAATTTCGGTTTTCAAACGAAAGTGTGCATATGAATAATTTCGGTTTTTCTAATATGCATTATTGCGGTTTTCAACTGAAACTGTGGATATATGCATTATTTCGGTTTTTTTCCCATATAACGGTAATTTGGAGAAATACGAAATCTTCGATAAATCATTAAATATTAAAGCTAATTTATTCAAAATTGATGCTTGCAACTATTCTTTACCAAGAAATACGTTTATGATAAAATTTTGGAAAATGGGCGTGGCACCGCCCACTTATGATCACATATATGTATCTCGGTAATCATTCTACCAATTTATACCAAACTCGGTATGGTTATTGTGTTTGCCACGTAACAAAACGTTGAAAATTATTGAAATCGGACTAAAATTACGGTCGCTCTTCATATAACGGTAAATTTCAGAAATGCTTGAAACTTCCATATTTCGAAATTTAAGGACGCTAATTTACTCAAAATTAATACACGCCGGCTTACCATATAGCGGTACTTGCGCCGGGTATTTAATGTTCGGCTCCGCCCGAACTTAGAGTTTCTTACTTGTTTTATATGCATTATTCCGCTTTTTGTTATATGCATTACTTCGTATGCACAGTTTCCATATGCACAATTTCAGGGTGCCATCAAATATATGTTATTGCAACTTAATGGCCCGTAGTCATAGTCAAAATAAAGTCGACTTTAAAGTTAGTTGCAGCTTTTTTGACAGATATCCCATTGAAAATTATGTCAAAAAGCTGCAACTAACTTTAAAGTCGACTTTATTTTGACTATGACTATGGGCCAATATGTTTACTGAAATTCGTTTGTAATGCTAAATAATATAAATTTATCCATTCGTGTAAATTGTAAATGGATAATCCTTCTAGAAGGCATGCAAGGAAGCACTTTTTTCAGTCCATATTGGGTAGGTCGCTTAGAATGCCTTTAGTTAGGAAGGCCTACCTAAATTATCTAGTATTATAGGTACTTGCATATTTCGAGAAATCAAAAAAAAAAAACGGAATTATTACAATTTTTTTAATAAAAAATCGTATTGCTTTAAAAACTTCATTAACTATGCAAAAAGAACTTAATGTGATATATAACTTTATATAGTTAGATTTAAGTACTGTAAGAAAATTTGTTTTATTTGTGTTG